ATATATATATATATATATATATATATATATATATTAATAATCACTTGTATGTGTTAAATAATAAATCATTAACTATATTATACATATTAATCTTGAAATTCTTGATTTTTTTTCTCTTTTTATGACAATTTTGACCGTTTGACAAAGTTCTACTGAGTAGGCCCGAATAAGATCGATTTGGCCCGAGTTAGAGAGATATTGACCGAGTTTTGACCGAGGTTGACCGGTTTTTGACCGAGTTTGACTTAATCCAAGTTTTTTTACTGAGTTCACAAAACTCGCCTTGGTGGAGGGTCGATTCTGAATACTCGGCCTAGTAGGCCGAGTTTTACAATACTGTATATTACTCCACTCTAATCAAGTTTTTCCATTGCATTCTATGTCCAAAATTATATAGAGATTTTGAAGCATTGCCCCAAAACCCATAGGGGTGCGGCCCCTTTAACCCCTACAATTCGTGATATTTGGGATCAAGGTCACCTTATATACAAACGTTCATTCCATACCATCTAAACTATATTATATCATTAGTTTAGTCTTACTGTCACTTGTGTTAATTCCAATTAACAAGATCTTTAGCACTAAAATCAACACATATTAAATGTTGTGCTCTTTAAATGTTTGAAAAATGGATAATGACTTAGGAGGGTAACTATCTCTTATCTGTGTTCACATATTGACAACTTCTTCTTTTTTGTACATAATAAAGCAACTAACTTGTTTTAACTGTTTAAATTATACCAATATTACCGGCTAATACATGTTTTAACCGGTAACTCAAAGGGAAAATAACTACGGAGGGTAACTACCTCTTATCCGTGTTCACATATTGGCAACTTCTTATTTTTTGTACGTAAGAAAGAAACTAACTTGTTTTAACTGTGTATGTGTGATACGTGTATGTGCCTGGTAAAGAGGTGAGTGTGGGTGAGCTCCCGTATCTCATCACTAGTTGAGTACGAACGATGTTCTGTATCTTATTATTACCAGAGTATGTTTCTTAGGACAAAGATACAGTAGAGTATGTTTCTTTATGTGTTAGCATGTTATATGATTGTATATGTTTAGCGGGCGGAGCCTAAGAGAGACATATTTGTATACCGAGTGGGGCCCGATGCCAGAGTATTAAATTAATGGTTTGATAATTATGGTTTTAGTATTAAATTAAAAAGGAATTTTTTGGTCAAAATTTTTGGGATGTTACACAGTTAAAACAAGTTAGTTGCTTTCTTATGTACAAAAAATAAGAAGTTGTCAATATGTGAACACGGATAAGAGATAGTTACCCTCGTAAGTCATTTTCCCTTTGAGTTACCGGTTAAAATAGATATTAGCCGGTAATATTGGTTTAATTTAAACAGTTAAAACAAGTTAGTTGCTTTATTATGTACAAAAAATAAAAAGTTATTAATATGTGAACACGGATAAGAGGTAGTTACCCTCTTAAATCATTTTCCCTTTGAAAAAAATAGAAACGTAACAAATCAAACACTATAAATAATAATAGAAAGTAAACTCTTTCAATGGTAGATATCATAACAAACCAACACCATATAAGAAACAAATGGTGGCGGTGAAGATGACGCTTGGTGGACCTCTTAACAATTGTATCTTGTTATACATAAATCGTTTTAATATAGAATGTAGTTCAGAAAATACTTTCATCAACATTCGAAAAGCTTACAACATTTTTTTTTTATTATGATAAATAATATAAATATACATCACAATCAAACGTATTATATGTTACGTGGTTACTGGACTTATACGTAACTTTTAAAAGAAAAAAAAAACTTTTAATCCACATAGTGTATTTACTAGAGTAAGGTTATTAAGGATGTGTTTGGATGAGTTTTTTTTACTTCAAAAGTTTTTTTTCATAAAAATTGTTATTAACTTATTACTTTTGCCAAAAGAAGTTTTAAAAATATGTTGGAATAGTTTTTAGCTTTTTATCTTCTAAAAACTCAAAAGTCATAAAAAACAGTATTTTCTGACTATGTAAAAGGATGTGTTTTCTTCTTTTAAAAAAATATAAAATAACTTTTAGAGTTCCTAAATATTTTATTAAACTTTTTGACATTTTCAAAAAGAAACGTCAAAAAATCATTTTAAAAGTAATGCCAACACCTTCTATGTTTGAGATTTTAAGTAAAATAATTTTAAATTTTAAAAGATCGTGATCATATAATTAGATAGTGTTTGGAAGATACTAAAATGTATTGGTCTCCAAATTTGTTTGCATTATATTTGTGAAATACTCATTAAAAGTTATATTGATAAAGACACGGATGATGGAATTAGCTTCTAACTTTTTAAGGATGAAATATAATTCTTGTTGCTGCAACCCGTAGAAATTAGGAAGTAAACATGAAAAATAAAAAATAAAAATAAAAAATGATGAACGTGATTATATACAACTAGATCATAAAAAAAATATAAGTGTCATGATACTTTGCTTAATTCAAGATAATAAACACTAAAAATGTTGGATCAGATTGAGATTTTAAGATCTTGATATAGATTTTATTTCGAATGGATTATAGTATGGTCAGGATCATTTTTGGTTTGTAGAATCTTAAATTTGTAATATTTTAAGATCAAGATCAAGATCTTAACAAAGATGCTATAGAAAAATATAAGATAAATAGTTAGTTTGATAATATCTTTAAAAAATCATTTTAACATAAATGCAAATAAGATCGCATAACATATAGGGTCGAACAGTTACTATTTTCGAAAATCATCTAATGGGTGTTTGACAAAACTTAAAAAATGAATTTTTTGACTTATTACCGATATAAATAAAAAAAATGTTTGAATAAAAAACAACTTATAGCTGTTGATAACCTCTAATAAGCCAAAAAGTGATAAGTAACCTACCCTTTACTTAGGCCGTACGCTATACATATCACGAACAACAGAACCACGAGACCATCACCAGCCATGAACTATTGCTGGTGTACCCTTCACGACCACGAAGAAGAGAGAGAGAAAAGAAGAAGAAGGCTGCTCTGAGAAAGAAGAAGGTTGTGGTCCTTCGTGCTGCCCACCACAAATCACCACGAACACGCCCAACGACGAATGGTCGGGGTAGTGTGCACGGGCGTTTTCCGTGGCCACGTAGACCACGGGACGGTTCGTGTAGTGTATACCAGAAGGCCTTATTAAAAACTAATTATTTCACCAAATAAGTTATAAGTCAAAAGGTCATAAGTTTTTTCAAATATGTTTTGCCAAACACCCTCTAAATGAATAACATGTTAATACAATTATGAAATTATATTTTTGAGTAATAAAACACTATTTTATTTTTAAAATTAGATAAAATTGCAAAAATGGTTCCCGTAGTATGCATTTTTTTGGGGTTTTAGTCCAAACCTCGACTTTTTTGGATTGGTGGTACTTTTGAGCTACTTTGCTTGCAGTTTTGGTCCCTGACCAAACTAAAAAGACTATTATACCCTTAATGAATGTATATTTTCATTTTTATTTCACTTTTTAATAATAATATTATTATTAAATATAAAAGTGGGCCCACTTATCCACCCTACCTCTCTCTCTCTATCTATCTATCTATCTATCTATTTCCAAACCATTAATGTCTTTTTCTAAACCTCTCATGTCCATCTTCTTCCTCCCACGATATGCCTTAAGTCTTTCGTTCCTTCTTCTTCTTTCTCACCCTTGCCATCACCTACGCTTTACTCGATGATGGAGATGATAATAAAGAAATAAATCAGGGATTCCCATATCAACCCACCTCCAACTGCATCGATTTTTCTATATTAACAGGTTTTGTAGAAACAATATCTCAATCAACATAAACCTCCATTCCTAAGTCAACCCACCTCCGATCCATTCCATTCTGATGATGAAATTGACAACAAATCAACCCTAAAATTACTAATCTTCCTCCATACCTATTTTCCTTTCACCTAAATCGCAACCAACACCAGTAGCAACCGATGACCCCTCCAATGAAACCCACATCTTCTCCGTTAACATTCTTCTCTCCCCGGATACCAGATCTTTTACTTTAAACTTCAAGAGCAAAAAAACCCAGATGCCTCACTACAGAGGAGGTATTAATCGAGTCATCCGAGACAAACATAAGATAATCATGGTTCGATTTCACCCATAAAATTGATTTCAGATACAAAATTGATTTAATATTTCATTAGGGTTTACCGGGTTTGAATCTTGAGAGATCGACGATGGTTGAATCTTGACATATTTGAAATCACTTTCGTCCCTCAATATGTCTTCAACTTCTCAACCGATTTCAGAAAGTATGTGGGTGTGTAAATCCTTCCTAAATCGTTGATGAGGTAAGAAAAGATTGCATATAAATTCAGAGAAGAAATCATCACCTCTGTTGGATGTATGTTTCTTGGAATTCACTTTCTTGTCAATATGTCTTGTTACCACAGATTCTAGCTTCGATCGACGATAAGGAGAGAAGAGAACATATGAGGAAATGCAGAAGTAGAAGTGTAGGGGTGTGTGTGTGTGTGAATTTGCAGAGAGAGAGAGAGAGAGAGAGAGAGAGAGGGTAGGGTGGATAAGTGGGCTCACTTATATATTTAATAATAATAATATTATTAAAAAGTGAAAGAAAAATGAAAATAAATTCATTAAGGGTATAATAGTTTTTTTAGTTTGGATAGAGACCAAAACTGCAACCAAGTAGCTCAAAAGGACCACCAATCCAAAAAAATCGAAGTTTGAACTAAAACCCAAAAAAATGTATACCACAGGGACCATTTTTGCAATTTAGTCTAAAAATTATAATGCTAAAGATAAAATATAATTTATTATATTTAAGTAAAAACAATGAAATTTACCGGGGAAAATTTTAAAGTATCACTTATTTTTACCATAAATTATATTTCCATATTTAGATAATAATATTGCATCGATTTTAAATTATTCTTTTCTTCATTTAATTTATTTTTCGATAAATTAAAAAATTAAATTTGGTCTGCACACAAATATTAATTGAACTTTCCGCCTATAGTGCGTGTTCTCGAAAGGCTCCAGGCATCTTCTCTTTCATGCTGTTTTTGTGTTAGCGTTTATCAACCCCTCACCCCACCCCACCTCCCTCTGTTTTCTTTATGTTGTTATAATCGATAACAATGGCTGTTCAAGCTCAATACCCATCAAATGTTCTTCTTCTCAACAGGTTTTTGTATTCTTCATTTTTTTTTTCTCCAGAAGCTGCTTTTTATTTATGATTCTGTTTTCTCAAATGGACGTGTTTCGATTGAATTACAGAGGTGTAGGAGAAGGGAAGAACGAAGATTGTTCATTGCAGTTACAATCACAACCAGGTGGAACAACTGCGACTTCTTCGAGATTTGTTGAAGATCCATCCGCTAATCACATATTTTTCAGCGATTTCCCAGGTGGGTGTTTGAATTGTTCATCGATTTCTTCATGTGTATTTGGATTTTTAACAGAATAGTTATGTTGGATTGTGTAGGTGAGAGTGGTGGTGTTAATCCAAGGAAAAGAAGAAGAGACTTTGATATGAATCAATTGATGTCTATTATTCATCAACAACAGTTTCATAATCAACTGGTGGATGTTACACAGCTCCGTTCGAGAAACGTCGACGTTTCCACTGGTCTCCGATTAGCTTTTAACGATCAACAACATTCTCTTTCTTCTCAGTCCTCTGTTTTACCATTATTCACGGAAGATTTGACAACACAAATCAACCGACAACGTGATGAAATCGAGCATTTTCTTCAAGCTCAGGTAAAACCCTTTCGCCGGAATACCAAAATACTTTTATGGGGTTGATTTGTTTTTCGCAAAAAACAGATGCTGAAGATTGAGTTTTATATTAGGGAGAAGAGCTACGGCGTACGTTAGCAAACAAGAGGCAGATGCACTATAGTGCACTACTCCGGGCGGCGGAGGAATCGGTTTCGCGGAAAATGAAGGACAAAGACGTCGAGGCGGAGAAAGCCGCGCGACGTAACGCTGAGCTGGAGGCTCGGGCGGCGCATCTCAGCGCGGAGGCACAGGTGTGGCAGGCGAGGGCAAGGGCACAGGAGGCGGAGGCGGCGGCGTTACAGTCGCAGCTGCAACAGGCTATCGTGAGCGGGAGGCGAGGAGGGTGTTGTGCAGGGGAAGGAGAGGAGGTCGGGCAACGATTCGCCGACGGTGAAGCGGAGGACGCCGAATCGGCGTATATTGACCCGGAACGAGTCGTGTTAGCGAGTGGACCCGGTTGTAAAGCGTGTGGAAAACGAGTCGCATCAGTTGTATTGCTGCCGTGTCGACATCTGTGCGTTTGTACAGAATGCGACGGTGTCGTTTCGGCCTGCCCGTTATGTCTTACTTTCAGAAGCTCTAGCATTGAAGTCTACATGTCATGATGTGGGCCCTTAATAAGCCCAATATTGAACAAGCCCAATCACATGATAAGAAAAGGGTAAATGTGGAATTTGACAGAAATAAAAAGAAAAAAAAAACAAATATGTTTAGAAGAATATTCAATAAAAAACAAAAAAGATAAAGCATAACTCCTTAGATCATTTTCTTTCTTTAATGTTATTTTTCTTACATTGTCTTTGGGCTATGAATCTGTTAATTCCCATTTTACCCCCCAAAAAAAACTGTTTTTTTGCCTTGTAGGTGTAGATGGCCAAAATGTCAAATGTTATTATGTAATTTTTTATTTTCTTTTTTGTAATTTTAAATTTATATTTTATTCTTTTATTTTAAATTTTTTCTTCAAATGAGCATTTGGATATTACTTTTGTAGTGGGAATTTAAGCCAAATTGAACATTTGAATATTTTTTTTTGGAATAGATTCTTTATAGTGAAATTTTGATTTTTAAGTAGCCAAAAGATAGAGAAATACTTTAGAACACATAAATTTTGGAAATTTTAGTTGATATGAGAAGACAAGTATTTTCTTTAACGAAAAACGATGGCATTTTTTTTATTGTTTGTGTGAGTTGGAAATTATATAAAATAGAACCTTCTTCATCTCCTCATCCGTGTCTTACAACTGGTCCTACTCACAAATTCTCTGATGTCGTCTCTCAGCATATCGTGATATCGAACCTTCTTCATCTCCTCATCCGCGACATACTACGAAATAAGAAGAGTCCTCTCCTTGAACTTGGCGGTGATCTCCGCCACCGTCTCGGTCGTCTGCTGTAGATCCTGGAACTCCCGGGCTAACTATTGCACCTTAATAATCGATGCAAACTCGGCCTTGAACCTGGCCGAGAAATCACTCCATGTCATTGCATCCAACGCGACATCATCCCCGATGGCAAGACCAACCTCCTCCCACCAATCCCGTGCTCTGTCCTTCAGAAAACAAGAGGCGAGTCGAACCTTGTCCCACTCAGGACATCGGCTACAATGAAAACTGTTGGTGACATTAGCCAACCATCTGCCACTAGCAATGGGGTCCCTAGCCCCATGATAATCTGGAGCTCCACAAGCCCTGAACTCCCGGAAAGTCAAAGTACGCGCTCCCAACATAGCCATTAACTTTGTGCGAAAGGCTCCAAGCCTCTCATCCAAAATCTACAGGATGTCCTCCTTGACCGTGCCAAGGCCAAAAGCGGAAGAACAAAAGCGTATGTGTGATATGCTGCTACCGCGCCGGCTCCTTCCCCTTAGCTGAAGAGGTACCTGAAACCAAAACTGTAAACTGCAAGCACAAAGCTTAGTGAGTTCCCCCATAGTACCTCATACCATGCAAGCATATAACAAACAACATTCAACTAGGAGTTACGGGCCTCGCCCACACTCGAGAAGATACGGGCCCTGCCTACACTTCTCTAGCCGGGAGATACGGGCCTCGCCCACCTCGTGAAGATACGGGCCTTGCCCACACTTCGCTATCTGGGAGATACGGGCCTAGCCCACACTCCACTCTTGGAGAGATACAGGCCCTGCCCATACTCAACCGCCAACTCATATTATACAAGTATCACACAGACAACAAGTACATACAACTCTATCATACCGTCACATATATCATACTCGACTAAAACAATTGATACGGGCTCGGCCCACACTCTAGTACTAACATCTCGTCTACACGGGTCGACTTTGGTGCCTTAGACCCGTTCCTACTGGAAAGGAAACTCACCTCGAAATAGCTGCTGATCTGTGTGGGAATCGACTGTCTGCTGCTGTTGCTGCTCCGGAAATCCTCTGGATGTAATTCCTACAACATACTCAATCAATCACTGCTAACTGTCCTTTGGTTAAAATGACCATTTTACCCCTGATCATGTCATAAGACAAGGTTAAAGTCAACTTTCAGTTGACCCGACTCGCCGAGTTGGCTCGCCAACTCACCGAGTCCCTATTCAATCGACTGCCCTGGATCCCGTCCCTACTCGTCGAGTTAGACGTTGACTCGACGAGTTCTCCTTCTAAACTGAGGTTCAAGTCCTTCATCCTACTCGCCGAGTTGTATGAACAGCTCGACGAGTTCATCTTCATCCGATGAACACTTATGCTGAGACTCGCCGAGTTGTATGAACAACTCGCCGAGTCAGGGCAATGACTCGCCGAGTCCCTTTATGGATGAGTTCGGCTTCCAACTCACTGAGTCACGCCCCGTGACCCGCTACTCTACTCGACACAATGAAAAGGGGACAAACTCGGAGACTTGCGAGCAGACTCGCCGAGTCAGATAAACGACTCGCCGAGTCGTTACTATGCACTCACTATATACGTGATGTTGCTTGATTCCAGTCCATGCCATTCACAGATCTGGGTTCCTAGAGCATGAATAACACGTAAAGTTTCCAACTTTACGTGTAAATATTCCTCAATGAGAGTTTTAGGGTTCAAAATGCACCAAAATAGTAGATCTAGGGTGTACAAGCAACATGGGTCCATAAAGGCAGTTGATCCAAGCTCCTGGAGCTCGATTCCACCTAGATCTAGAGGCTAATCAGCCTAAAACGAACCCTCCACATACACAAGCTTGGAAAATGGGTCAAGAAGGACTTTAATGGGGCCATAAGCATGAAAACATGGGGGAAGACGAGCCATACCTTAGTGAACACTCTGAGATAGCTCAAGGATGCTTGACCTCCTCTTCTTCTTCTTGATCTCCTTTCCTACTCACTCCAAGCTTCAATAGGACACACCAATGGCTTCAAATCCACAAAAACGAGGCTTAGAACGAGGTGTAGGGCTTTGAGGGTGAATGGGGGCTGGCTTGGGGCGGAAAGAGTGATTAAATAGGGTGCAAACCCCTGAAACTTAGGGTTTCATCCAACAACGGTGACTCACCGAGTCCAGGATATGGACTCGTCGAGTCGCCAACTTATAACGTGTCCCGGGTCCCGTCTCTACTCGGCGAGTCGGACTTATGACTCGCCGAGTCCAAGGCAAAAAAAAATGGAAAATACTCAAATAAGATTTATGTACCAGGAACCAGGTGCTACACAATGAGTCCACTAGCCGACTCGCCGAGTCGGTCACTTATTCCATGCCCTGGATCCTGCTCCGACTCGTCGAGTTCCTCCATGGACTTGACGAGTTGACTCTTGACATACAACTTATCCTTTTATTTTCTTGGTCTTTCTGATTCTGGGTGTTACATATGGCTACCCCCGTAGTCTTAAAAAACTTTCCATACTATTTAATCGCTAGTGAATGCTACGGCTACCCCCGCAGTCTTACAACACTTTCCATACTATCTGATCGCTAGTGAATGTTGCGGCTACCCCTGCAGTCTTACAACACTTTCCATACTATCTTATCTCTAGTGAATGCTACGGCTACTCTCGCAGTCTTACAACATTTTCCATACTATCTAATCGCTAGTGAATGATACGGCTACCCCCATAGTCTTACAACACTTTCGATACTATCTGATCGCTAGTGAATGCTACGGCTACCCCCGTAGTCTTACAACACTTTCCATACTATCTGATCACTAGTGAATGCTACGGCTACCCCCGTAGTATTAAAACACTTTCCATACTATATGATCGCTAGTGAATGCTACGACTACCCCTGCAGTCTTACAACATTTTCCATACTATCTGATCGCTAGTGAATGCTATGGCTACCCCCGTAGTCTTACAACACTTTACATAATATCTGATTGCTAGTGAATGCTACGGCTAGCCCCCTAGTCTTACAACACTTTCCATACTATTTGATCGCCAGTGAATGCTACAGCTACCCCCGCAGTCTTACAACACTTTCCATACTATCTGATCGTTAGTGAATGCTACGGCTACCCATGTAGTCTTACAACACTTTCCATACTGGTCGAACACGCACTTGACCGAACACACAACTAAACTTGAGTCCTAACTGGAGCTCTAACCTAGTTCCTGAAACCTGCTATCTGAGAGTCTCGAAGGCTGTCTACTGCTCAGGCCCTCGGCGAAAGGCCACCGACTTCTTGGTCAGTGGGGTCAAAGGAACTGCAATCTCGGAGAAGTCCCGTATAAATCTTCGATAATAACCTCCTAGACCCAGGAAACTCCGAACCTCAGTTGGAAACCTCATAATCTTCCACTGCATCATGGCCTCTATCTTAGTCGGATCGACCAGAATACCTTTCTGGTTGACAAGGTGCCTAAGAGATTGCACCTCGTGCAACCAGAATTCACATTTGGAGAACTTTATAAAAAGTCTCTCCTCCACTTAGATTGTAATGTCCCAAAAATCCGTACCAAATATTTTTCTATAAATCATTATCAAAGCCATATTAATAAAAACATATCATAAGTCATAACATAAACTCAGAGTATTAATTCCAAAACATAATTCATTATCAGAGTAAAACATCCCAGGCTGACTAATCAATGGTGTATGCCATGCGATCACCCCGAGCTCTTCCTTCCGCTACCGGAAGTACCTGAAACCAAAATTGAAAACCGTAAGCATGAAGCTTAGTGAGTTCCCCAACCTACCACATACCCTACACAAACACATACAACATATACTGGGCCACGCCCGTTATTTCGAGCCTTGCCCCTAACTCGGTCCCCGCCCACTACAACGGCCCCACCGTTCCAGGCCCCACCTGGCTTCGAGCCCCGCTCGGATACATATTTGTTTCTTTTATGCCCCGCCTGTCTCTAGGTCCCGCCCGCTAACCACATATAGTACAAAATAGCATATAACACATAACTAAACATACCCTACTGCATTCTTGTCCTCAGGCATCGCCTGTCTTGGGCCTCGCCCCTGTCCCGTCACTAGTGAGTCATGGAACCCCGTCCAAGCTCCTACGGTAAGTAAGATACGGGCCCACGCCCACTCTCACTCCATGCCTATCTCGGGACTCGCCCATGCTCTGCTACTAATGAGATATGGAACACCGTCCATACTCTGATATTGGAGAGATGCGGGACCTCGCCTACACTCACCTTCCTACCAGGCACATACATGCATCACACAAACAACAAATATAATCTATCATTTAAACCATTCCTTGGGCAACCGCCCGACATCGGACCTTGGTCCGGAATATCATACTAGCAAACAGTGCCTAGGGCTAACCCTCGGATCTTCCTACTCATAACTACATGGG